ATTCAGTTTTTCAAGGGTTAGAGAAATATTAGGCAGTTCTTTGGTCTTTCTTTTGATTTGATGCTCTTTTTGTGCTCAAAGCTTAACCGTTCATGTATATTCTATTAAACTCATATTCATCCACCTAATTAAAAATTATAGTTGACTTTTTATTAAAGATTGAAAACTAATTTTATTCGAATAATATGAGCCCTATAATTCTGATTTATAATAGCTATATACCCGCAAAAACGATTGTGGGATAAGTAGTTATTGGTGTAAAAAATATTCAGTTTTTTAAGGGTTAGAGAAATATTAGGCAGTTCTTTTGGTCTGTTTCCTATTTGATTTGATGCTCTTTTTTTGTGCTCAAAAGCTTTGGAACCGCTTCGATGTATATTCTATTAAACTCATATTCATCCACCTAATTAAAAATTATAGTTGACTTTTTATTAAAGATTGAAAACTAATTTTATCCGAATATAATGTAACTGAACGAAGTAGCTTATTTTTTACACCAATAACTACTTATCCCACAATCGTTTTTTTTTTGCTTGCATTTTCAGGCATTCATTTTTTTCCGCTCATTCCAGCATCATTAATGTATTCAGTTTTGCTTTTAGCTTTGCTCACACGCTTGATTTTTAGTTATGCAATAGCTAATAAAATTGTTGTTGTTCTTATAGAGTAATACATGTATGTTTGTGTATGCTCTGATATTTTTAAAGCGGATTCAACGTGTATTTTAATAGAAAATTTATCTTATTTGAGTGCTTAGATAGTGAGAAACATTACTTTCAATACATACAATATTTTAAAAAAAAATTTGGGGGAGAATTATCAAACACTAAAAACAATGTATAAATTTAAAAACTAGAATAAATTGGATAATTACTATAATGAATTGAAAAAAGATATTAAATAATTAAAGTAAATTAATAAAATTGTATCAAATCAAAACAAAATAATATATAATAAAATAAATTTTTAGACTTCAAAAATCGATTTTAAATATTTTGAAAAGTATTTTGTAAAGACTTTAACTTTATGGATTCATAAACATCATAAGTAACACGAAAGCATGGCGCACAGTGAAATTAAGTATTAGATTGGACTACTATAATCATTTCATTTTATTAACTATTAATGCTTTTTAATGAACTTGAACTCATAAAATAGTAATTTTCGATTTTATCTCCCAGCTTATATGTAAGTAAATAAGTATACACAAATATAAAACGTTACCCAGCCAGCATAGCAAAGGTATTTTTCAGCTTTCGATTAGAGCAAAATTTCATTTCAGACTATCTGATATAATGATTTGTAAAAAGCTAAGAAATTCATACCCATATAAACCTGTATATAATATAAATAAATAGAGTATCAAATGAAAGCTATATACACTCTCTATGCCCGCATTGCTTAACGAAACTGTCAAGTAGCAGCAGCTGAGTGGCAAAAGAAAAGACTTGCGAAACCAACTTGCCTACAAAAGCAGCCGAATGAACAGTTGTTAAGCAAATAAACCGCTTAATGGGCGTGCAGCACATATATAGACTAGTTTGGTGACTTTATTATTTACATTTATGTCTATTTTGCATTTTTTTTTATTTAATCCGCCGTTGCGATTTGATGTGTGAGAAAATGTCATTGCAATGAGTAAACGGAACAGTTGGTCGGAAAGGAAAATTTTCAATATTCCTATTGAATCATATTTCTTAGGCTTTCCAAAAATAATGAATCACTGTTAGCATTATAACAGTATTTTTAAATATTTGCATAATTTCTTCGTTATATTTAATTATACAGTTTTTTTATGTTTTTTACTTTTATGCTTTTTCAATAGGTGCAGTCTTACTATTTCTTAACGATATTGAAAGTAATGTTATTGTTTTGCTCTTACAAACTTTTGACAGTTGCAATTGCCCACAGTAATATTTGTTATTTAAAGTAACACCATTTTTAATATGGAAAGTAAGTGGATTATAACAAAGAGGGAGAGTAATAACAGAAAAAAAAATTGTTAGAAAGGATTATAAAGAAATTAAATTATTAACAAAAAGAAGCTTAAGCTATTTTGATGAATTTTTTAATGGAATAATAAGCCAACAAAACAGCATTTAAAAAATTTTTTATATCGAATTTTGATAAATTAAAAAAAAATTTATTAGTCATTTTTTAATTAATTTAAAATATTTTTAGCTATTTCAATTTTTTGCCAACAAGGACAGGAAATATTGAAACACGAGAATTAAAAAAATTTTTATTTTAAAGCACCAGATAAAAGTATTTAAACAAATTGCTGTTATAAAATTGTATATTTCGTTGTTTCAAGTTTACAAATTGGCTTATGATTACGATTTCTAGACTTAAGTTGATTTCTCAAATAACGAAATATTTGAAAATTAAAAAAAAATATTACAAATATGTTATGTCATTTACAAAAATATAATTTTTATATTTCCTGTACTTTAACAACTATTAAAACATATATAAACTTAAAAATCTATAAAAAAAAAATTGTATTTTAGACCCTAAAAGGACCCTATGATTTAAAAAATATTATTTATTTCTGGAGTTGGCTAAAAAGGTTGTTATATTCTGTTAATTATTTCCATATATAATATATATATTTTATCAAACATGCATAAATCCTTTTATTCACTCATTACGTCTTCAATATTAATATTTCACTTATAACATTTGCTTTTGTTAATTTATTTTTTATAAAACATTTCACAGCTATCACTACACGCTTATCGTTGTTACATGCTCGCCCTGCACATTGCTGATTTTGACATGCAAATTTTGTAATTATTGCTTGCACACAAATTAATAAGCGAATGAAATTCAAGAAAATGTTGACGCCGTTAACTACTGTAGCTCTATTCGAAGAAATAGCAACAACACTGAGAATCACAGCAACATTGAAAAGCATTAAAAAGTAAGCGAAGAGAAAAATAAATTTGTTCAAACTTTTAAATATTTTATATCATATCTATTTTAGTTATTTTATTATATTTGTTGTAAGCGTTTTGTCGTTGTGGTTTTTCTGTGCACAAACCCACATATGGACACTTGTATATATTTCATTTTTTCTAGCATACTCTCATTTGTATGCAAACTTTGTATATTTTTGGTGACTGTGCAATCAACAACAATAGAGACATAGTAATAATTTGATGTGAATACTATTCAAAAATCCCTTCACAAAATATTACTCATATATAACCGATTCGGATTAACGATTGCACTAGTTTGAAATACTCAAACACACTTTAAGTGGACATATACAGGTAAGTATGTACTAGTTGTTATTGTACTACATTATATTTGTTATTATTAGTTTTATTTTTGTAATTATTCGCACAATTGTTTCCCAATATTTCGTACCGCATACCAGCGTTAAACCGTCCATAAACGCGTTTCGACTCAAACTAACCTCAGCTTTCGTGGTTGGCCAGCGTCAAGGTAGTCGAGTTGGTATAAAATGTGGCTTATGGTATGGGCTTGGCTCGCGGAGTGGTAGCGCAAGAATTGCTAGCTGTAAAAGAAGCGGTGGTAATGACAGAGTGCCAAAAGCATAAAACGAACTAAGTCAAAATACTAAAGCGAGCAAGAAACAAAAATGGAGGGAAATATGTGGGCTTTTAAGCGCCAATTGCGAGAGAAAAATGAGAAAACTGACTAGTTTTCACATAATAACTCCAACAGATCAGCGTTTAGTGGCCGGAGAGTATTTAAAAGGCAAAAGAGTGTCATTGTGAGTATGCGTTAGGCAGAGAGAAGTGCAAAGATTATTAGACTTTGAAGCTTAAGGTGGGCAACAGGTGTCGAAACGTAAGCGAGTTCTTTGCAAATCGAAAAAGTGTCTTATTTTAACTTTTTAGAAGTTAAATTAGTTAATAATCAAATAATATTGTGGATTCAAAATAAATTGTATACCCTTTTTCTCCCAAGAAACTGTCGAAATCGCCGATATCGGACCACTATAGGAAATAGCTGTCATACAAACTGACAAAGACGACTTTTGTATTTGTGAAGGGTATTATAGTTTCGGGGTAACCGAACTTAACGTACTTTGTTTTTTTTTTAATACCCATATTGCACTAGAATTCACACTTTACGCTACATAAAAGAGGTTATATGTTTCTAGAAAAATTTAAATTAATAAGAATTGCATTTTACCCACCGGAAAGCGAAACGACTAACTCGCTTTTGGCGGAAACTGTCAATTTATCGCGAAAGAATGGAAATATAAAAAGAACTAATGGCTCTTAATTTTTTATATCCCTCCTAATTTTTCGGCTGTTTTCAATGTTACATTCTCCTTCTTGTTTTCTTTGTTCGCTATTTCGTTTTCCGCGATAGTTTAAAATTTAGCAACGTAAAAATCACTTTAAAAATTGAATTTTTAATAGTTTTAGTTTTATTACTTTTACTGCTTCAGGTGATTCTTCTTCTTTTTATGTTTATATGCTACTTCCTTTTCCGCCATAATTTGACATTTCGGGCTTGCAGTAAAAGTGTACGTATTTTCATCGTATTTTCATCTGATAAGTGAATTTTGCTAATAGTTATAAATTTGGCTGAAAATAACAAAATTGTGCCAAAAAAAATTAATTCAAATAGTTATTGTGGTCTTAAAAACCCTGCAAATACAAAAAATTATTGTTGTTTATCATTAATCCGGATAAATTGTAAGTAATAAGCATGTTAGAAGCATTAGCGCCACGTAAATCCATTAGCATCATCCATTTGGCAACGAAATTGATATGCGATATATGAGCAGACTCGCAACAACAATAGCGCAAACGAGTACATTTATGCTTAAAATTAGTACAGGCATCTCATAGCCATAAGGAGTAAGTCCTATAACCCATTTTGTGAAAGATTTCGCAAGACAAACAATCAGACAAACATATAGCCAGTGGAAAAAAAGCCAAATAGAATTGAAATCTAAAATAATAGTAATTTTATAGTTCTCTTACAATCTTAAGATATGCATGTCAACGTGTTTATGTGTTATTTATGTGCTCTCAGTTAATCTTCCTCCAACAGCCAGACAGACATTTGAATGCGAAAATATAATTTTCGCGCATTCATATACAGTCATCTATCACAATTAGGAGCAGCAGCAAAGTGAGGATTACAAAGCTCAAAGCTACGCGATTGTTAGCTATCAAAGTCCGGTATAATGCAATACATATTTAAGAAGTAAGGAAGGGCTAAGTTCGTATGTAACCGAACATTTTATACTCTCGCAAAGTCAAATGGTATACTCGTTTTAGATTTCTTTGTGGATCTTGCCGCCTTGTTCTATGTTGACCGATATTTTCGGTAAAAAGTCAACTATGGGTACTGGGGTGCACATATTCAGTACCTGGAAAGTGAAAAAATCAGAGGGAATTTAACATGATGTTATATGGGAAATAGGCGTGGTTGTAATCCGATTTCGCCCATTTTCGTACTATAACATAGAAATATGAGAAGAATATTATGTGCCGAACTTGGTTGAAATCGGTTAAGCAGGTCCCAAGATATGGGGTTTCACCTAAAAGTGGGCAGTGCCACGCCCACAATCTAATTTTGAACGTGGCTCCTATAAAGTCATCTTATACCATCCCAGAGATAAAATTTAATGTCTCTGGCTTGTTTAGTGCTTGATTTATCGCGCTTTTAGTAATTTTTAACAGTACCGTTATGTGGGGAGTGGGCGCGGTTGTCGCCCGATTTGACCCATTTTCACACCGTTGTTGTTGTTGTAACGGTTATCTAGTCCCCGTTTGGGTGATAAATTCCAGATTCTATGTCGTCGAGGTCATCTAACGGGAGGCCCAGGAAACGAGCTGTTTCGACGGGGTCGGACCATAGGGAGAAGGGTGTTAGATGAGTGGGGTTTGTTGGGCACGCAAAGAGGTGGTTAGTGTCATGTGGAGACTCATTGCACGCAGGACATGTGTTTGGTATGTCGGGGTCTATTCTGGCTAAGTAGGAGTTTAACCTGCTACAGTATCCAGAACGAAGTTGCGCGAGGGTCACTCTGGTTTTGCGAGGCAACTCGAGCTCTACGTCTGCTATGGGTGGTGGTTTGACTCGTATTACGCCATTCACTGAGAGGGAGTCTGTGAAGGTGTTGATGGCTTCACTGTGAATGGCGGTCAGTGCCTATCTGAAGTTCGTTGCGTCCGAAGTCCGGTCGGCGTACTGTTTAATGTCGTCGACGTAATCAAGGAAAGACCTCTTGATGTTCCTAGGAGGCGGCTCCGATACAGGCAGGCGACTACAGGGGTGGTTTTCACGAGAACACCCCAGTAGAAACTGCTTGGAGAGGAGTTCGTTGTGTTTCTTAACCGGAAGCATACGGTCCTCACTATGTAGGTGTTCGATTGGAGACATCAAGAGGCATCCCGTGATAGTCCGGAGTGCAGTGTTCTGAAGCTTCTTCTTCTGCGTGTCACTGCATCCAGGCGACCATATTGGGGCTGCGTAATTTAGGACCGGCCGGCCGATTGCCTTGTATGGTGCCAACAACGTTTCTTTGTCTTTTCCCCAAGAGCTGCCGGCAAGCGACTTGAGGATTTTGTTGCGGCTCTGTACTTTGGCAGCTATCGCGGTCGTGTGAGGAGTTAAAGAGCACAGACTGTCCAAAGAGACGCCTAAAATTTTAGGGTTATTGACTGTCGGAATTTTTGTGCCATCGACTGAAATGTTCAGGTCCAGTCTGTACTCCTTCGTCCAATTTGTGAAGATAGTCGCTGTGGATTTAGTGGGAGAGAGTGTTAGGTTCCTTGCTGAGAAGAAGCGAGAAAGATCGGAGAGGTAGCTGTTTACCTTTGAACACATGCCATCGATTCCATTTCCCGACGTCAATATCGTACAGTCATCGGCGTACGAGGTCCCTGAAATTCCCGCTGGTGGCTGGGGGAGTTTCGAAATATAACAATTAAACAGTAGTGGGAAGAGGACACCACCCTGCGGAACCCCCTGTTTAATTTTCCTAAGTTTGGAGTTTTGACCTCGAAACAGTACGGATGAATGCCGACCGCTCAGGTAGTTCATAGTCCACCGCTTCAGCCCTGGAGGGAGCGTTGATTGTTCTAGGTCCTCAAGTAGCGTTGTGCGATTGACTGTGTCAAAAGCTTTTGACAAGTCCAACGCTACGAGGATCGTCCTCTCGCAGGGTGGCTGGTTCAGGCCATGAACTATCTGGGCGTTTATGACGCTAAGTGCTGTGGTGGTACTGTGCACTTTTCGGAAGCCATGCTGATGATCTGCTAGGCTCAGGTGGTGAGTGAATGACGGGAGTAACAAAGCCTCAAGTGTCTTCACTACTGGGGAAAGGAGAGTTATCGGGCGATAAGACTCCCCTTTGTTGGCGGATTTTCACACCGTCGATAGAGATGCTAAAAACATTTGTTCCCAGTGAATTTTCTTATTATAGCTTCAGTGGTATAGAAGATATGCACATTAAACTTATTATAGCGAGACCACGCCCACTTTAAAAAAAATATTAACTGCAGATGCCTCTACCTAATGTGATACTGTATACCAAATAAGAGTCTTGTATCTTGATGTGGAGCTTAGTTACGGCAATTTATTTGTTTTTGATTAATGGCGGTTTGTGGGCGTGGTAGTGATCCGATTACGCCCATCTACAATACCAACCGTCTTACGGTACCAAGAAACATGTGTACCAAGTTTCATAAAGATATCTCAATTTTTCTCAAGTTACAGCTTGCACAGACGGACGGACATACAGTCACCCGGATTTCAACTCGTATCTTCATCCTGATCATTTATATATATAACCCTATATCTAATTCGATTAGTTTTAGGTGATACAAACAACCGTTAGGTGAACAAAACTATTATACTCTATAGCAACAAGTTGCTAGAGTATAAAAATCTAGCTCATCGATAGCGAGTTGTCGATCGTCTACGATCCCACATAAATCGCAAGCTGAAAATACCAGCACCAACATCAATGCATAATAATCTGAATGCCTATATATATGGGATTATGCTTATATGTATGTATATGTATGTACATATTTATATGTAAGTGCATCAATAACATCGATCGTGCAGTGAAGATGATGTTTGACGTGAGAGGAGTTGCACTATACCAAATCAGACATCACCGTCGCTGCAAATGCAACGATCATGTTAACATAACAACAACGTTAGAGATGTGCCCCATTGTACATTGTTAGTTGTTGTAGATTTACCAATTCTTAGTGCCAACAGATAAGAAGTTGGCGTAACGTGCATATTGTACTTGCAGCCATCAACCCTTTCACTGCAACGTTTCACGATTTGTTGCAATTGTTTTTTTTTTTATTTAATAAATATGCATGTTTATGCATTTCTACAGATGAAGGTAAATAGTTGTGGGCTTTCATATTACAATCGCTCGTAATTCGCTTAAGTCAGCACATACAAAACGCCGGAAATCAAACAGAATTTCCTGCCAAGCGCATGCTATTAAAAAATCACTAGCAACAACGAAGAGTATTGGTAATAATAATAAGTTTTAATTGCTTAAACAGCAACAACAATGCAGATAGCATTAGTAGGTGCTGCAATAAGTCATTGGCAAGTACCGTTATTCTAAAAGACTCAGCTGAGTAACAGGGTCGTTAAGCTGTAGCATTTTCTTCTTGTTGTAAATATATTTTTTAATTCTTTCTGTATTTTCTTTACAAATAAAGATATTTTTTATAGTCAAATTATTTTCAGTGCGCATCGTAACTTCACACATTAATTTTATAAATTATGGAAACAGCTCTGATAGAAATCAATTTTTTAAAAAAAGGAAAACAATTCAACAATACTTAAAAATTGTATTAGGCCAAAAAAAAATTGGCAAACATTTAAGATCTACAATGTCGCGATAACAGTTACATAACTCGAACTTGCAGTTTCCAGAAAATTAAATATGGTTTGTTTTTTCGATTTGCACTTCATGTGATTAGTTCTTAAACTTTAAGCGTAAATTATATGTCACTTAGGTATGTAAAAACTGGCAATTAAACGCTGTGTAGCATTTATTGGCAGGGATACAGCATTTATTTGCCGGAAGTAAACTTCGAGAGGCTTTCCAACAAACCGATGTATGATGTGTGCTCAAAAGCAGTAGCCAAATCTGAGAGTTTTTCAACGAATTCATTGCTAACACCTTTCTCTTCCAAGAGATTCATCAGCAAGTCATATAGGTACTGTTAAGAAGCCAATATTAAGAATTGTTGGACATAAACAAGTTAATATCTACTTACGCCATCGAGTACATCACCGGCCACGGCATAAACCTTATCGTTCCATTCACCTTGGTAGATACACATCTCATCAATGCCAAAAATGTCATCTGCAAATTACCCAGAAAATTTTAAACACCTTTGGTACTAAATAATTTCTTCACTCACTGTATTCGCCCTCTTGTGGGGTACCTTCTAAGAAGGAGCATGTGAATGAAAGAGTTATGTTGCCCTTAACGATGTCAATTTCAAAACGCGGTTTACTGCTCATCTCACCGATTTCAGCCTTTTCCGCATTGGGGTCCAACTCGGGTTCGTCTTCAGTATCCACAGTGTGGTTGACGTTGAAGTTAATGACAATTCTATACAACACATTTTATTCATAAATATAAAATTTAATTCAACTTTTATATCATTTACTTTTCCTTATCACTCATCTTGGTTAACTCAACATCGGCGCCATCCAGCTTAACATTGAATCCCTCTAAGGTGGTGGGAATGGATTTGATCTTTTGCGCTTTGCGTTCCGCCAATATTTCTTCAGTCAGGAATTCCACTAGTTCCCTTTCGCCTTTAATTTAAAAATTATATATTTTAATTCAAAAACTCTACGCTATAATTTCATCACGTTGATATAGGTTATGTAATGAACAATATTTCAACCGGCAACAGGATTTGAAACAATTTCTAACCTTTGGTGTGCAAGTGCTTTACTCCACCGCAACCGCAGCTGCAGCTTAAGCTGGGCTTGTGCACATTCAGAACATTGGTGGTTGCACCAGAAGTTTCTGGATTCTTGCACATGTGCCAGAGTGTGCGAGTGAAGTCACGTTTACCGAAAACATTTTTCAATGCGTTCTTTGAGTTGGCAGCAATCAAACTGTTGCCGAAACGAAGTACGGATTTTGTTAAATTACTCATTACGAAAATTTTTAAATTTTTAAATTTTCACGGAGAAGTACAACTGCAGCGTTAATTTAACCTCACACGATTTCCAGATGGTAAATGTCAACTTCGGTTTTGCTTAGTGTATGTTCGCCGACTAAAGCTGTTGCCAATATGTTTTTTTTGTTTTGAAGTATTTTGGTAAATTGCCAAAGATCTTGAGATGTAAGGGTAGGAAAATATAATTGAAACAAAAATTAGGACAATGGAATGCAAGCTAAATAATAAAAATCAATAATTTTTCGACATATAATAATCACAAATGAGTCTATTGTTGTCATATTTAACAGAAATAAATAATTGGTAACTCACTTTGTACCTATCAGCTGATTAAATTATTATAATTGGCCCTTACATGACGTATGTTTCTTCAAGTATTTTCATTTCAAGCAAGGTTCAACAAATAATCACGAACGAATGTGGTTGCGTTAATTTATCACATTTTTAGTCATATATTTTAAATTGTTGCTACCATGAATAGTTTGGGCGATGATTGCACGGAACTAAAGAAGCAATACGACGCTTGCTTCAACTCTTGGTTTTCTGAACATTTTCTTAAAGGTCGCAATGACGATTCGTTGTGTGCACCGATCTTCAAAATTTATCAAGATTGTGTAAAGGTAAGTGAGTTCCTATACGAAAAAAAAAAAAAATTAAAGAAAAATCTGTTTTGATGAATTATAATGTTTTTAATGTTACAGCGAGCAATGCGTGAGCAAAAAATTGAACTTCGAGAAGTCGATTCCGAAATCAACACTGGCGAACATCAACAAGAGCAACAACAAAAGCCTGATAATACAAAAAGTTGACCGATACCGAATAGTAATCTCTTCACAACTACAAGGACTGGTTTGGCTGGTCACGATGTGTACCATATTAAGAAAGGGTCGTATAAAAGAGACAATTCTGTGCCGTAATTTCTAATGTTCGACTGAGCAATAATGAAGATAGAACGGAAAACATTTTATTTATTTCGCAATTTCGGATGCAGTTAACTTAGAAAAACATAAAACCACTAGCTGTTTAATATTGTATGTAAACACTAAAGTTAAACTTAAGTATTAAATAAAGTTAATTGTTCGTTGTAAATGTATTTAAGAAAAAAAACAGTACTTAAACTTGAATATATTAAATTACTTTATTTTAACTTCTGTTACGCCCATAAAGGTTAATTCTTCGAGGTACTTGTTACGCCGCCTACAATTTCGTTCATTGTGACCCTTTCTTTTACACAACAGACACATGATTATTTGGTCACCTCTGTTAACAAACCCAACGTCCTTATGATGCTTACGCCACATGGCACACATCAATTCTGTATGGCCTTTCTGCAAACAGATCCAACAATGCTGATTTGCTTGATACATTTGACACTCATGTTCTTCCGCCTGCGTGCAGCGTCTGCAATTTATACAATGAACATAGTTGGGCTTGACACAACACCCACAAAGCTCACAGTGACGATAAGTGCTGCCGTTTTTTGACGGACAATTGCCACACTTAGCACAATGACGGTTTTCTAATGCTGTGTAACGCTGGCATAAGGCACAATATTTGTACTCCTCTTCAACCGGCAAATGTAACAATTCCAAACGCACATTCGTGAAGACACGCACTGGCGAACCGAGCTTGCGACACTTCTCGCCTACATTAGTGTATGCGCCATGATTGGTGTAATTAACTTTGTATTCACACATGCGCATATGCGGCATTTCTTTTTGTATGTAATGTTCAGAAAAATAAGGAAATATCCAAAATATTGCCAACGGTTGATGAGGTAGGTTATTCAGTAAATTGAATGTATGCGTAAGCTGTCTCAAAGTGCCGGCTATCGGTTCTGTGCGACAACCAAAAGGTGGATCCGTAAATATTAACAACTTATCCTTGCTGGTAAAGAATGAATAAATAAATAACTTTGTTACATTATCCAAGGCACTTACGGTTTACACTTTAAAAACTTTTCGAATTTTAAACGCTGAAGTTTATCGAAAAAATGGTTGTTACACATATTATACCACGCAAAATTATTATCGTCATAGAAAAAAAACATGCGATGATCAAAATCCAATAAAAAGCTTTGCATATCGGAGAAGTTATTACGAAAAAAAGCGTGCAAACGCGGAGCACCCATGCAGACCACCTTACTACAATTTAACATAAAATCATAAATTATCATAATTTTGTCATCAGTTTGTCTGTCGAAATATATCTATACTCACGTTACACCCAAGTCCTGAAAACAGTTTCCAAAAAATTTTAACGCCTTGTTATCGAAGAAGTATTGCGCCTGAGACTTATCATCATCCAGTGGGCGTAGGAACCGAGTTGGATCGCAAAGTAGTTCATGTGCTAAATTCCAAATCATTTCATGAGCGGCATGTTCTGTATGATTATCACGTAATAATGGTACATTGCAATGTAGACAGTAGTGAAGTCCACCATCGTTGTAGCCTGCTAACAACTAGACAACATTATTAGATTTACAAAAATATAATTCAATTATTTCAGGCATACCTTTTGCCGCTGCTTCTTGTAAGAATTAATGTGACTTTCTAAATCATAACGTTTTGTCAATTTCTGTGGCGTTATTTGTTCTGCCGGAAATTGAAAGTTGCACAAACTTTTATCCCGATGCGCTGCACATGCATAATAAGCAGAGGTTGGTTTATCTGCCAATTGATTGAATGTTTGGAACAGCAGTGTTGGTCCATGTGGGCAGTGTGGATGCCGCACACCATGCTCTTCATCGGGATACACTATTTGTAGTTTATTGGCGTTTTTCATTTTAAAATATAGTATATTCACTTATCTTCCTATATTATTATTGTTCTTGACATCGCCTAAATATTATTCTACATCTGTCCCTTCAAACTGTGAACTCAAAACCCCGCTTTGTTAACTTTCTAATGGCTTCTGACAGCTCACAGCTGTTTACCGCAAAAGCTTTTGTTTTTAGTTGCTGCAGAGAACGTATATCAGAGAACGTAAATTCAGAGAAAGTAAATGAATAGACAGAGAACGTAAATGAATAGAGAAGGAGCAAATGTTAACTGAAATCTTTTTGAGTATTAACAGAGAACGTAAATGAATAGAGAAGGAGCAAATGTTAGCAGTAATTTGCTGCGTAAATTCAGAGAATGTTGATGAGTAGAGAAGGAGCAAATGTTAGCAGAACTAAAATGTTAATTGCTAAGAAGGAACATCGAAAACGCGCAAGTTCGAAAATAAAATGTCACCACAGCTGTCAATTTACGCAACGAACTACACCACTCTATAAGCAAAATGTATATACATACATATGCACAGATGTTCTTTGATATGCGCATAAACAAAAATTGAAATAATAAAAAGGAAAATAATTGACTTATGACAGGAAAATTTAATAATCAGGGAAATAATATTAAAATAGAATTCAGAGAGAATTTTATATTACACCAGACACAGAATTCATTCTAAACGAACGTGCGCTGCTTCAAAGCAAAGTGCGTTCGTTCATTATAACCTGCGCCGCGCTATCTTTTTGTGCGCCGGTAAACACATTTGTTTTGCGATATAGAATTCGCTACGCATTAGCGAAATAAATGATGAAATTGGAATTTGAATGTCTTCAGTAAAATTGAGATAGCATTCATTCTTAAACATTCGTATCACGAAAACTATCCTCCCCTCTGCGTTTGTATGTTGCCCACAAGCTGCTTCCTCACAACATTTGCTAAAAATCAGAATTGAAGAATTTTCTGATGTTCACTTCAAAAGGAGAATTGGACATGACCTATTGAGTTTAAATAATATTTATATTTTTGCATATTATGCACTATTTATGGCATTAAATTACAAATTTATATTAATTGACATGTACATATAGAAATCATTAACTACTTTATATATTCTAAGCACAGTCCATATAGTACTTTTTATATGTTTACTTATTATCATTATTTCATAGTTTGTCGATTTAGCTCATTTATCTAAATACGACGCTATGAAATGCAGCCCAATCGGTAATCACATATTTCAAAGAGCATAAGTCAATTTCACAAGCAACGCCCTGCAAAAGGACAAACGAGAACAACATAGCCGATCGACATTGTCGTAAAATTGTCGATTGACAACATTTTGTCAACTCCGCCACGATGCGCAAAATTCGGCGTCAATATGTATGCGAGCTCATAGTATCTATGTATGTTTGTCGACAAAATCGTCATTTGTTTTTCAACAACACAATGTCGCGCGAACTCGCCGTTATTTCGTTGGCTTGCCACCATACACAAGGCGTTTCAACTGAGGGCTCATAGTATATTTATGCGTAATTGAATTGAAAATACTGATGCATATTAAATTATTTTCGAATTATAATATTATATACGTAAAAATATAAATACACATATATTCATACTTATATCGTTTTAAATAAATTCGATAATAAAATATACCTGAAATAATTATGTGGCACGTGCGCCCAATCCTCCTTGCTGCGATCGTTCAACTCGCAAAAAGCAAAAGGTGGACAAAAGTCATTGTGTGCGGGCAAGAAGAGCAAGCATCAGCGTACGTGTACTCATGAATGTATGTGTGATTATCACATTTGTGTAAATACAATATAAAGGATATCATAACCAAACATATGAACATATTTTCTGAAATATTTTAATTATCTCAGGAAGTTAAATATGCTATTAAAGTAATTGATTATGATATTAGATTCCAATTAATAATATAAAATTAATAAAATTTCAGTTTCGTGAGTTTGGATTCGAACGTATAGGTTCGTATTCGATTGTGCTTAACCCTTCCCGCTTACGACCTAGCCACCACAAAGTGGAAATGTGGCCGCTTAGCCACGTTTATTGTTACTTTGTTTAATAAGCAATTGCTCACATAACGCACATACATAAGTTGGAAAATAGCCTATTAAATGTTATTTTATTATGAAATCTGGGGTTTTACCGATAATACAGATTTGTAATTCAGAAGGCTTTTCATAATTATAAATTTGTCATATACGAAATTGAAACCATAAATCTAAATAGGTATGCGCAACGTTTTTCATATAGGAATACGTGTGTCTATTTATAGCATTTCGCACATTGCGTGGTGTATTTTTCTTTTCGAAGTTATTATTTTCGATGTTCCTTCATGTGGAATTACAAATTAGTACTCAAAAAGTTTCATTTAACATTTGCTCCTTCTCTATTCATTTACGTTCTCTGCTAATTTGTAATTCCACATGAAGGAACATCGAAAAATATAACTTCGAAAAATAAAAATACACCACGCAATGTGCGAAATGCTATAAATAGACACAAACGAATATTCAACGAATACAAAAATTGAAATAATAAAAACGAAAGAAATTGACTTCTGACAGGAAAATTTAATAATCAGGGAAATAATATTAAAATAGAATTCAAATATCATTATACAAAAAAGGATTATAAATAAAAGGACTATATATATATGATTGATTTGAACTTAGGCAAAATATTTCACGTTGCAATAAAGAAGTCTGCTATACAAGCAGCACACAGACAATATTCAACTCTATGTCTATTCTGTGAACTCAAACGCTATTGTTGTTTACTTGTTCAATGTTCATTGTCATATGTGAATATTCTCGAATTGCCTTCCTCATTCGCATGTCCAAATATATTTGCATATATGTACACATATGTACATATGTATGTCCATCAATATGTCTTTCGCAAAAAATCTAACACTCGCGCAAGTGACAAAAAAAAAACGTAGACGCACCAGCATCGGCCAATAATATTCAAGCAAACTCGCGGCTTATTTTCTAAGTATTTTATATTACAACGACAACAAATTCATTCATAAGGAACGTGCGCTGCTTCAAAGCAAAGTGCGTTCGTTCATAACTCTGCGCCGCGCTATTTTTTTTGTGCGCCTGGTAAACCACATTTGGTTTTCATATAGAATTCCTACGCATATGCGAAATAAATGAATGAAATTGAATTTGAATGTCTTCAGTAAAATTGAAGAATCAGCAAAATTTCAATTTTACAATTTGTATCACTGAAAATCCTACTCATCATCCCCCTCGCGTTTGTATGTTGCCCAAAGCTGCTTCCTCACAACATTTGCTAAAATCAGAAATTGAAGAATTTGTCTGATGTTCACTTCAAAAAGGAGAATTGGCAACATGACCTCTTAGCGAGTTTAAATAATATTTATATTTTTGCATATTATGCACTATTTATGGCATTAAATTACAAAATTTATATTAAATTGACATTCATATGAAATCATTAACTACTTCTATATATTCTAAGCACAGTCCATATAGTACTTTTATATGTTTACTTATTATCATTGTTTCATAGTTTTTCGATTTAGCCCATTTTATCTAAATACGACGCTATGAAAATGCAGCCCAATTGGTAATCGCAATATTTCAAAAGAGATAAGTCAACTTTCAATAGCAAACCACTGCAAAAGGACAAACAGACAACATAGCGACCGACATTGTCGTAAAATTGTCGATTCAAACAAATTTTGCCAACTCCGCCAATGCGCAAAGTTCGGCGTCAAATAGTATGCGAACTCATATGTATATTTGTATGTTTGTCGACAAAATCGTCATTTGGTTTTTCAACAACACAATGTCCGCGCGAACTCGCCGTTATTTCGTTGCCTTGCCACCATGCACAGAGGCGTTCTAACTGAGGACTCTTAGTATATTATTATGTTGCTTAATTTGTATTGAAAAATACTGATGCATTTATGAATTATTTTCGTACTATAATATATATTATATATATAATAAATACTATTATTCATACCTATAATCGTTTTTAAACTAAATTCGATATACTTAATAAATATATATTATATCTGAAATAATTATGTGCAGTGCGCCCAATCCTTCTTGCCTGCGATCGTTCAACTTGCTTCTCGCAAAAAGCAAAAAGTGTGGACAAAGTCATTGCTTGTGCGGGCAAGAAGAAGCAATCATCAGCGTACGTGTACTTAATGAATGTTGTCTTATGGTATGTGGATTATCACATTTGTGTAAATACGCATAAATAAGGAATATGCAATAAACCAAACATATTTATTTGCCTGATATATTTTAATTATCTCGGAAGTAAAATATGCTATTAAAGAAATGAATTATGATATGCTTGACTCCAATTAATAAAATAAAAAATTAAATAAAATTCGTTTAGATTCGAACTATAGCTCGTATTCGGATTGTGCTAATCCCTTCCGTTACGACCTCAGCCACACAAAGTGGAAATTGGCGCTTAGCCACCGTTTTATTATTATCATTTGTTTAATAAGTATATTGCTTACGAACGCAATACATAAGTTAGAAAACTACTTATTAAATGTTTATTTATTATGAATTCTGGGTTTTACCGTAATACAGTTTAATTCAAGGCTTTCATAATTATAAAATTGTCATATCATAGAAATTGAAAACATAAATCTAATAGGTATGCGCAACGATTTTTCATATAGGAATATCGTTGTGTCTATTTATACATTTCGACATTGCGTGGTGGTTATTTTCTTTTCGAAGTTATATTTTTCGATGTTCCTTCAGTGGAATTACAAATTAGTACTCAAAGTTTTCATTTAACATTTGTCTTCTTACTCATCAACATTCTTGGTTCCAGAATGAGGAACTATCGAAAATATAACTTCGAAAATAAAATACACCACGCAATGTGCGAAATGCTATAAATAGAACAAACGAATATTCTATATGAAAAATCGTTGCGCAGAAGAATGTTGATGAGTAGAGAAGGAGCAAATGTTAGCAGTACTAAAATGTTAATTGCTAAGAAGGAACATCGAAAACGCGCAAGTTCGAAAATAAAATGTCACCACAGCTGTCATTTACGCAACGAACTACAACTCTATAAGCAATTGTATATACATACATATGCACAGATGTTCTTTGATATGCGCATAAACAAAAATGAAATAATAAAAAGAAAGAAATTGACT